GTAGAGCTGGAGCTGAGGGAGTTGTTGGGAGAGAGGGCGCTGGATTGAGTGAGAAGTGCAGATGTGTGTGTGGTGGTGGGGGGGTATGGGGGGGTGTTGGGGGGTCGACTTCATCCTGATGGACCTTTTAACTTTATGCAACACAGACACATACATTACACCAGTGTTTACCGACTGTTTTTGTGCAGCGGCAAATATTTGTCATGAGGAAAACCATGCAGCGAAAAAAAATCTGCCAAAAAGTAAAATATATGTAATGAAATATAATAATGAAATATAATAATAAAATATATATAAATTCACTAAAATCTTAGCCTGTTTAGTTGAATTCACTAAAATCTTGGCCTCTTTAGTTGAAGACAATGCTCATCTACTCGCAGGAATTGAAGAAAGACACTCACAAAGATCTTCTCCAACAGCTCTGATTCTCTTTTTTTTTCTCATGGCCATTTGCTGCCCCCTAGTGGAAGGCTAATTTAATTCTTCTGCATGTCACACTTTGACAAACGATGAAAAATTATTTTCAGGATAATGAATGATGTATTGTTTTCAGACCAATTAAGTGAATTTGGATAATTTTCCGCGGCACACCTAATGATCTCTGACGGCACATCAGTGGGCCACGCCTCAGGGGTTGAGAATCACTGCATTACACAAAGGTGTTGTTAATCACAGTCAGTTTTTGCGTCTGTGTTCATTTTCCTTTTACGTGATTTTTTCTCTCGAGAGAGTCGTGCAGGTGATGATGTGAAAACATTGTAAAGGTCACGTTGTCCCTCGCTGCACGGTGGAAATGTAAACTACCAACATGGATGGATGTGATGCCGACCTATGACGAGGGAAAAAAATAAATAAATAAAAAGAGAACAATTCCTGGTCTGTGGAACCGCCTCGGTGCTCAGATTCACACCGTGTACTTTTGACAAGTGTCCAAATGTAGACAGGAATTCTGTCAGAGACGCACAGACTGACCCGGCCACTGTTGGAGCACGGCAGCGCTGGTCTCCTCCCAGCTGCGATCCTGCTCATTCCCATTCCTTCAATGACCCTCATTGTGTCGGGAAGAGGAGGCCCATTCTTACTCACATCCCTCCTGCTCTTGTTCCTCCAGGGACCGGCCCGGAGGATGAGCGCCTGAGTGAGAGTTTGGCCGTCACCTGTGACACGGCTCCTGCTGCAGTCGACAACTGTCACGCATCAACGCAATCGCCAGACGCCATCGCATCGGACGAGTCGACGGGGGAAAAAAAAAAGTGTTGTGACAGTTTTGGACCACAAGGACGAAAAAAAAAAAGAACCAGAGAAAGGAGCACGGCGGAGGAGGGGCCTGTGGAGAACAGAGGTCTGCCTGTGAGTAGCTCATTGTGTTCATTGTTGTGGCCGACGCGTGTTGGTACGACCCAGATCGCGGCCGTCATGTGACTGGATGGAGCTGCCGTCCGTGGTTGAAATGTTAGAAAAAAAATGAAACGAAACATTGATTTTTTTGATTTTTTTTCAAACGTTTGAGGATGTTATTTATCTGGACAGCTCAGCTCTGCTGACCTTGACATGCTGGCCACAGCTGTGGTTAAAGGCAAATGTCCTGTAGAATACACCCCCCCCCCTCCCCACCCTTCCACC